TGCGTTTGGTGGGATCAGGAAGGTGTGGTGTATTATGAGCTTCTAAAACCAGGTGAAACCGTTAATACTAATCACTACCGACAACAAATAATCAATTGGAACCACACTTTGATCGTAAAACGACCAGAATGGGCCAGAAGACACGGCAAAGTAATTTTGCTTCATGATGACGCACCATGACACACTTCAAAACCAGTTAAAGACACGTTAAAAGATCTTGCCTGGCAAGTATTAACCCACCCACCATATTCACCAGACCTTGCTCCTTCAGATGACCACTTGTTCTGATTGATGGCACACGCACTTTCACAGCAGCACTTTCCATGTACGAAGAAGTGGAAAATTGAGTCTCTGAATGGTTTGCCTCAAAACAAGAAAAGTTCTATTGGGACAGTATCCACAAATTACCTGAAAGATGTGGAAAATGTGTAGCTAGTGATGGACATTACTTTGAATAAAGCACTTTTGATGTTTCTCTTGAAATTATCATGTTTTCTTTGATTACAAAATCCGCACTATTACCGGTACACCTAGTATATATAGGAGTATATTTTGTGACCTCAGTGTAGGAAAGCATTATTAACATATGAGAAGCAGTAACCATAGAGGAAAAAATTTGACAAATATGACATTAAAATGAAAAACAACGTATTTGGTGCCAAATTTAGACTAATGAGCAAAATACATAAGCACAGCCCTAACAGGTTTGGCTCAATGGATAGAGCGTAGGCCTGCGGACTGAAAGGTCCCAGGTTTGATTCCGGTCAAGGGCATGTACCTTGGTTGCGGGCACATCCCCAGTAGGGGATGTTTCTCTCTCATTGATGTTTCTAACTCTCTGTCCCTCTCCCTTCCTCTCTGTAAAAAATCAATAAAATATATTAAAAAAAAAAGAATAACAGTTGATCACATAGACTATTACAAAATATTCTTTAAAAAATACATAAGCACACAGAGGAGGGAGCAATTGACTCTACCTCAGGAGAAAGTAATTTTGAGGTGGGTATTGAACTGTGTGTGAGCGTTCACCAGGGCAAAACATTCTAAGCAGAGAGAAGAGCATATGCAAAAGTACAGAGCCCAAACAGTGTGGTGTTGGGGGCAAAGGGAGAAAATGGGAGACATCTGTAATACTGCTAACAATAAAATAAAATTAAAACAAACAAGCAAAACAGTGTGATATATTCAAGGAACCACCAGTGGTGAAATATACAGTAGAGAGGGGCTGCGTGAGAACACAGGCTTTCAAATCAAATCAACTCAGCCCTACCACTTCCAGTTCAGGGACCTTGGGCAGATGATTTAGTTTCTGAGTATGTTTGCTCACCTGTAAAGTGAGAGTATTCCTACCTCATGAAATTGTAAGGATCTAAGATAGCAGTTTTCTAAGTGGGGTACACAAACTCTAGAGTCTCCAAGACCTTTTTGGGGGTCTGTGCGGTCAAAAGTATTTTCACAATACTTGATATTATTTGCCTTTTTCACTAATCATGCAAAAGCAATGGAGGTAAAACTGCTGATACCTTAGCATATATCAAGGCAATGGACTAGTAGTCATTGTATTCTTTACTGCCACACACTTGCAATGAAAAAAGGGCCAGTTTCACTTAAGAATGACCTTGATGGCCGAAACCGGTTTGGCTCAGTGTATAGAGCGTCGGCCTGCGGACTGAAAGGTCCCAGGTTCGATTCCGGTCAAGGGCATGTACCTGGGTTGCGGGCACATCCCCAGTGGGGGATGTGCAGGAGGCAGCTGGTCGATGTTTCTCTCTCATCGATGTTTCTAACTCTCTATCTCTCTCCCTTCCTCTCTGTGGAAAATCAATAAAATATATTTAAAAAAAAAAAAGAATGACCTTGATGAAGCAGTGAAAATGGTTAATTTTATTAAACCTCAATTCTTGAGTGCATGGCATTTACTATTCTGTTTGACAAAATGAACCCAGCCTGTGTGGCTCAGTAGTTGAGCCAGGAGGTCACAGTTTGATACCCAGTCAGGGCACATGCCTGGGTTGCAGGTTCCATCCCCAGTAGGGGGCATGCAGAAGGCAGCTGATCAGTGTTACCCTCTCACATCATGTTTCTCTTTCTCTCTCCCTCTTTCTCTAAAAATCAAAATACATTTTTAAAAAAATGAACAAAGTGAGCCTGTGACTTAAAGGAAAACTACTTATAATATTTGTTGCCAATGATAAAATTTGAGAATTCAAGTGAAAATTATACTTTTGGAAAACCTGTATCTATACAGTGAACTTGGCAGTTTCCCAACACTTAAAGATTTTGCTGATGGGATTGGTTGTGATTTGAATGAATGTTATTATTTTTTATATTGGATAATGAAATATATCAACATTTGGAATATCTGCATAACTGAGTGAACCAATATTTTCAAAGTGATCAATGCATGATCACGCTTGGGTAGAAGATCCATTCAAATTGCAAAATAGACCAATGGGTTTTTTTGTAATACAAAAAGTTCACTGATATGGTTTCAAATACATTATAATTATCCTCAAAGAAACTACCACTTATCATGATTTGGTGTACAATCAAAGGAGAATATCCAACATGATTTGAAAAGGGCATTAAAATATCTCTCCTCTTTTTTTACAATTATTTATCTGTATGAGGACAGGTTTTCTCCAAATACTTCAGCCGAAACAGATTAAAATGCATAAACATATAAGAAAATCAAGCTATTTTTATTTTTTAAAATATATTTTTATTGATTTTTAGAGGAAAAGGGAGGGAGAGGGAGGGAGAAACATCGATGCGAGAGTGAAACATCGATTGGCTGCCTCCTGTCCTGACGGGGAATCAAACTGAGTAAGCAAATAGAAAGGTATAAGCTGGGAGAGGCAGCTGAGGCTTGGAAGAAGTAAGTATGAGATGTGGTAAACTGAAAATAGACAGTGGAGGTGGCAGGCAGGCCCTTACGTGAGCAGGAAAGATTCAGAGCTCTCTAGGATGTGGTCTAACAACCAGTGAATAACACCTAGATGAAGCAGCCTTATAACTTAAAGATACTTTTTTTTTTTTTTAAGAAACATGGGAGGGGGCAACTTATTGAGACCTACTCCAGTCTAGGGGTATAAATATCCCAAATCCTAACCAAGGGGGCATTCGGTTCCATCTCAGACAGCCGACCTGCCCACTCAGGGCACTCCGTTTGGGTCCATCCAGCTGAATTGCCCGCTCAGGTCCTCTTTGAGTGATCGCTTTCCTACAAGTAAATCCTTGCCTGCTTTTGCTGTTATTTGTTCTCTCGTTTGAATTTATCCCTACAAGCAAGACAAGAACTGGGGGGTCAGAGTATTGTCTCTGGCCAGAGACCCTCTTGTCCACTGCTGGCAGAACCAGCAACCTCTCGGTGCACGGGACGAACCCAACCAACTGAGCCACACCGGTCAGGGCTCAAGTTACTTTTTTTTTTTTAAATATATTTTATTGATTTTTTACAGAGAGGAAGGGAGAGGGATAGAGAGTTAGAAACATCGACCAGCTGCCTCCTGCACCCCTTCCACCGGGGATGTGCCCGCAACCAAGGTACATGCCCTTGACCGGAATCGAACCCGGGACCCTTCAGTCCGCAGGCTGACGCTCTATCCACTGAGCCAAACCGGTTTTGGCTCAAGTTACTTTTAATTAAGTCAAGTATTAAGAGATTTATAAAGTGTAAAACAATGATACTTTTCTCACTATTTTTTAAAAATGTCATTTATATTAACCTGCAATTGGTTTACTATTTTTTTAATCCTCACCCAAGGATATGTTTGTTTTTTTACTTTAGAGAGGAATGGGGTGAGAGAGAGAAATATTGATCAGTTGCTTGCTGACCCCCCACATGTGCCCCGACCAGGAATCAAACCCACAACCCAGATATGTGCCCTGACTAGAAATCAAACCCCCAACCTTTTTGGTGTATGGGATGATGCTCCAACCAACTGAACCACTTGGCCAGGGTTATTCATTTTTTTTTAAAGAGAAATTTTTTAAAATATATTTTTATTGATTTTAGAGAGGAAGGGAGAGGGAGAGATAGAAACATCAATGATGAGAGAGAATTATTGATTGGTTCCCTTTTGCAACCCCCTACTGGGGATCAAGGCCGCAACCCCTTGTTTGGAATTGAATCTGGGACCCTTCAGTCTGCAGGCCAATGCTCTATCCACTGAGCCAAACCAGCTGGCTAAAGAGAATTTTTAAGAGGGGACAAACAAAGGAGAGAATGTTTGCAAGATTTCTATCCAGTATAAACTCTCTGATGTACAGGAAGGAATAAACACTGACTAATTAGTGCCTTTCATTTCAAATTGCAAGTATGTCAGTTTACTGCTAAACCTTTCGTGGTTAACATCTCAGGAAATTGTACTGTGAATATTTTTGTGGTGGTTTTTTGTGTTTTGTTTTGTTTTTGTTTTGGGCTGTGTGTGTGTCTAGAATGCATTAATTCAATTTACATTATTTCTAATGGAAGACAATGATTTGGTTTTCGAACAAATCGCTTCTGGAACAGCCTTCTGGAATGAATTAAGTTCGAGAACTGTGGACCACTGTACAATTATCCAGGTGTGGAGCCTTATCAGCAGTCAGTGTGTGACTACCGATTGGGCTCCCGTTGCCCTAGTGACACCATCTCCTCTCCCCGCACCCCGACTAGGGGTCGGGACTTGATGAGCAGCTGCTCTGCTGGTGGCTCTCTCCACCACCTTGGCAAGGAGCGGTTGCCACGGGCAGGCGGAAGTCCGAGTCCCAACGGTGCAGCTCCAGCTGGTGGCTTCCTCTGCGGCCGGGCTGCACTGCGTGCTGTGCCGAGAGCGACACTTTAGCTCCTCCCCGCTGGCGCCCGGCTGCAGAGGCACCGTCAGGATGAAGGCACAGGGAGGCCGGAGGTGGAGGCCAGATCCAGAGACAGTCGCTCACGCAGCCGCAGGGATGGGGAGGTGGAAGAGGCTAGCCGCGGGGTTGCAAGCTATGCCCTACGGACCCCGGGTTAGCAGCGTGTGATGGCTGGCTGCTCCTCGGACAGAGCAAACTGGGGTGGAGGCGGGAGGAGCGAAAGGGGCATGGAACCTGTGCGCCTAGGCTACACGCAGCTCGGCTGGCACCGCAGCTGAGAGGGTACCCCCTTATTTGTGCTGGGCGCGCAGAGCTGCGAGTGGGGAAAGGAATGGGCCCCAGGCTTCCCGCGGTCGGAGCACATTCCAAGGCAACAGCGGGTGCGCACCGCTCCCAGCGTTCTGCTTTCCCTGGCACCCACCTGCCCATTGCCCTGCAGGGACCTACAGCGCTGGGGCTGATTTGCGCTCAGGCCAGGGGGGTTTCCAAGCCGCAGCACGAGCCGCGGGGGGCGGGAGCAGAGAGAAGAGAGACTGCAGAAACGGGCAGGAGGGGCAGAGGGGCGGGGAGAGAAGAGTAAAGCTAAGATGGAGCAGTCTTCTTACCACAAGCCACAGCACGGCACCTTCCACTCCTGCTAACTTACCAAAGGCGGAACGGAACTGATCTTTAACATGACAAAGAATCTCTGGACATTGACTCTATTTAGACCCTGATTTTCCATGATGCTATGGACTGAGATGGGACATTGAGGAACTCCCTTCATTTTGCCTCCGAAATAAATCCCCCTCGCCTCTGGGTCTTTGGAAATGCTTTTCCTTGCGACACTGCAAGAACCCCACATCCACCGGCAACAGAAAGTGGCGCCCAACATAATTTTATCTCTCCATCCATTTTACAATGAAATGTTTTTTACCTGTAAAAAAACAGCATAGCCTGAGTCGGTTGCTCAGTGGTTAGAGCACTGGCCCAAGCACCGAAGGGTTGCGGGTTCCATTTCCGTCAAGGGCAGGTACCTCGGTTGCAGACTCCACCCCCCATGGGAAGGCAACCAATCCATGTATTTTCTCACATCAATGTTTCTCTCTCTGCCTTTCTCCCCTCCCTTCCACTCTCTAAAAATCAATGGAAAAAATATCCACGGGTGAGGATTAACAACAAAAAGTAGGCTAGTAATATCTATTCTGTGAAATAGAACAGAGGTGAAAATGCACGGGGCATGTTTTCTTCCATTTCCTCAGTGCATTGGAAGGAGTTAAGACCTCCTGCAGGAACATCGCTCTACAGTAAATTCAAGCGGATGAAGAGAAATCTTACCTATTTCCAGGGGTGGAACTACCTGTCCTACTATCTAGTATTAGAAAATACCATGTTTTTAGGTTTTTCCCCCCCAAAAAATTCAACAGACATCATGCACAGAATCTATAGTAGGAACAAGCCCTAGCCTGTTCCACGGACACAGTCAAAGGCCCAGACAGCATTCTGCCTCCTTTGTACTCGTTCATTTTAGCTGGGTAAGGGTGGTTTTGTCTTGTCTTTCCTTCCTATGCCTTTCATTTCAAATTGCAGAAAAGGAGATCATATGCCCAGATTTTTTTTTCCTCCAAAACAGCTTTCCAGCTGAATACAACAAAGACAAAAAACAAAACCTTCCTTCCCCCACAATTCTGCTCTCCTGTTACTCCCCAGGACAAGGGCCAATCCCACAACAGCGTTTTCCTACTTTCAGAGAAAGCACAAGCTAGGATTTCCAAAGGTGCCCCAGGGCAGGATTTCATTTTAGCATAAGAACAAATTCCATTTATTGAGCATCTACTTTGCCCACCATGATACAAGTTTCTTTACAGATATTTAATCCTAACAAAGCCATATAATGTTTGTATTATAATTATCCTCCTATTACAGGTGAGTGGGTTAAAAAACATTAAGTAATTCTAGTCTTAAATTGTGACTTCCTGAGGCAAAGGACAACAGTGGTGCCCTTCCCGGTTTGGCTCAGTGGATAGAGCCTGCGGACCAAAGGGTCTCAATACTCGTCAAGGGCACGAATCTAGGTTGCAGGCTTCTCCCCAGCCTGGGCCCTGGTCGGGGCTTGATGATATTGATGTTTTTCTCTCTTTCCTTCTCTATTTCACTCCCTAAAAAATATCCTTGGGTGAGGGTGTAGTGGGAAGTGGCATCTGGTAGCAGAAATGAGAAGAAAATGTGGGAGGATAGAAGAGGTAAGGTAATAGGAAATTAAGAAAAACACACGTCCCGGAAAGAACTGCTCTTCACCCCTACCACTCAGCCTGAGCCATGCTCTAGGCTAGGGTGTGTGTGTGTTTAAACAAATCTCCATAGCAACCATCTGGTTTCTGTCTTTCTATGACAGCACAGGCTTTTGGTTTCTAAATATGGGCACTAGAGAGAACTAGTGAGGACTGGGAGGGGGGTGGGGGGGAAACTAGGCAGAAAACACAGATTTCTTTGGTATGCCTTCAATTATCCCTCCCAGTTCACCCTCAAGGTAGGAAAGGGGCTTAAGGTCTTTTCTTGATTCACAACAGTCACAATTAAGCACCGAGTCTTGCATACCTTTGTATTCTTTTAACCAATTATGTAAATTCCTATCCTGTCAGGGGGATTCCCCTGGGGCAAGAGGGGAGAGAGAGAGAGAGAAACTTTTGCTTCCCATTTTCACTCCAGGTGCCACTTTCGGGCAGAGAGGTCAGAGGATCCCCTCCAAGGATGGTGTGGTGGCCCCAGAGGGAAAGAAGCCATGGACAAGGGTGTATGAGTAAGGACAGGCACCGCTGAGATTAAGTGGGCCCAGGCCAGAGTACTGAGAGCCCCTTAAGTCAGCACAGTGACTCTCAGCCAGGGGACCCCAAGGGACATTTGGTAACGTCTGGGGACTTTTTGATGGTCCTGACCGAGCATCTAGTGGGTAGAGGAAGGAGATGCTGTTAATATTTATCTTATGACACACAGGACAAAAAACCAAACCAAGACAACACACAACAACAACAACAAAAAAACACACAGGACAGTCCTACAACAAAGAAGTATTTGGTCCAAAATGTCAGTAGTCCCAAGGTTGAAACCCTGAGCTAGAAGGTGCAGGTCCTACAGGAGTCCTCTCCTTGGTCAAGGGCTCCAGTGATAGGTCAAATTACTTGAGGGGATACCATGGATGCCAGCTTGTTCCCTTTGGCCCTGAGTTTCTTCCACACTTTCAACCCAAGTATTCATTTACTTTGTTTACTTCTAACAACAACAAATCTAATCCAAGTCCCAAATTTGCTGTGAAATTCGCTTCTCCCAAAGAGGGCCTTGAGTATAGGAAAAGCGCCTGACAGAGGCAGTGTAACCAGGTAAAAGGCACACTCTCGTGGCCTCAGTTTCATCATTTGTAAAACGAGTGCACTGAACAGAATGATCTCTAATGGCCCTTTAGTTCCCAAACTCCGTACTTTGGGATTTTTTTATACTTAGTTGTACCCAGTAGGGTCATGAAGAGGAAATGACTCAGAAATGTAATGGAGGGAAGTCTGAGGGTGATTCAGGCTTTCCTAACCATAAAAGACGCTTCAGACATGTACCTAATACCAAAGCAGAACTCATGACCACTGAACGATGATGCCAGGACTTTTCTCTGTATATTCCAGGAGGTGGTTTCCACACGAGGTGATTTTAGCAACAGTAAAAAGTTGCCTCTTCAAAAAAGAAAAAAATTTAAAAAAAAAAATCCCGCCCTAGCCGGTTTGGCTCACTGGATAGAGCGTCGGCCTGGAGACTGAAGGGTCCCAGGTTCGATTCCGGTCAAGGGCATGTACCTTGGTTGCAGGCACATACCCATTAGGGGGTGTGCGGGAGGCAGCTGATCGATGCTTCTCTCTCATCGATGTTTCTAACTCTCTATCCCTCTCCCTTCCTCTCTGTAAAAAAGCAATAAAATATATTTTTAAAAAAATCCCTTCAAAGGTCTGAATGTTTGAATTTCTACCATGAGAGTTTTATCTCCAGTGAAAAATATAAATATTCTAGCATAGGTACAAGTTTGGTGTTACTAATTGAGTTTGGGACTCTGAGGTAAGTCGCTGGCACTAAATCAAGAACAAGGCTTGTTGGTGCGTATGTAGACCTAACGAATATAAATAATTTGAGAAAAGTTCATGTACTGTGTAAATTCTATTCAGTCTTTTCAATCTAAATATATTATTGACCTAGCACTCCTTTTTTGTTATTTTTCTAAGCTAGAAACTTTAGTTTTCCTTTTATGTAGAAAAACACAACACTGTTGGGTTTAACAAGAGGTAACAGAATAAAACCCCAAATACATGAGCCACCTACCTTCACAGCTGGATGTAGGAACTTGCTTAGTTCCTTCCTTAACACTCCAGTGACCTTCACCTTTACTCCACTTCTTAGTGTCTTGTCATTAAATGGAAGAGTTCTAACTCTAACATCATTTTGACTACTGTGTCCTGAGCTTCCAGCTTAATCATCTGCTCTTTGACCTTTATCAAAATTTCTCTTGACCAGAGTTTACCATACTTTCTAAAAAAATAATATACTTTTATTGATTTTTAGAGAGAAAGGAAGGGAGAGGGATGGAGAAATAGAAACATTGATAACGAGAGAGAATCACTGATTGGCTGCCTCCTGCACGGCCCCCATTAGAGATCAAGCCCACAACCTGGGCATGTGCCCTGACCAGGAATCAAACCAACGGCCTCTTGGTTCCTGGTTCGATGCTCAACTGCTGACCCACACCAGCCAGGCTACCATACTCTTCTTAGCCTGAATCAGCTGGAATCCTTGAACTGTCTTTTACCAGCACCTTTAATCCCTTTGCTCCCCTGTCAGTCCACTTCACGTCTACAAATCATGATCCAGGATCTACACAGTAATATATGTTCTCTGCTCCTGATTATATAGGGTGTCCCAAAAAATGTATACACACTTTACAGCTGATAGCTCAATTGATGCTTCTTTCTTTTCAGATTTAACCCATTGGAATTAATAATTATTCAAAGTGTGCATACATTTTCTTGGGACACCCTGTATATATATTCTCTAGCAACACCCAGCTGCCCGGGTATGGGTGTGTGTATGTACGCACATCCTCTTGCTTGAGACCAATTTCTCACTCAGCTGGTTTCCCAACTAAGTTAACCCCATGACCTCGCCTTGTACAGTGGTTGGCACATAGTAAGTGCTCAGTAAATGTTTGTTGAACTGTTGTTTAATTAACCACACCCATCTGAGCTCTTGTTTCAATCCCTCCTCTTCAGAAGAACCCTTTTCGGTTACCATCATTTTCTATTGAGCTTCAACTTTTACTTGTTCCTTTCACCCAGTCAATAAATGTGCTTAAATCGTTCCTATCCTAAAACAACAATAAAACCTTCCCATACCACTCAGTTCTACAAGCAAGATTTTACCTCTACCAACCCATTGAAACTTGTCTCAAAAGGTTACTAATTGCCAATTCATTTGGACACCCTTTAGTCCATTTTAAAAAAGTGATTTTATTGTTTTTGAAATTTAAATGATCTCTAATTATCAAATACATGTTCACTGCCAACATCTTGAAAAGTACAAAAAGTAGATACATACACCCTAAACCATAATTCTGACAAATTATGTGGCTGAAAATTTTGGGCACTTTTTTTTAACAATATAAGCGAGACAGTCACATTTCTTACTTCATATAAACCTCCAATAGCACTTTACATTGTGGACTGATCCTGTTCCTCCATTATACTGCCCTTCACACCACATATTCCTCATTCTCCTATTTTATTGGTCCCTTCTCTCTATTCCCTTCAGATGTTAGCTTTCATCAGGGAGAGCTCCACAATCTTTCTGCTCTAAATGCTTTCACTTTCATGGCTTTACTGATACATCTTTAAGTCCACAGAATCTACTATCTTTTAAAAAAATACATATTTTTATTGATTTCAGAGAGGGCGATGGATAGAAACATCAATGATGAGAATCACTGAGTGGCTGCCTCCTGCACGCCCCCTACTGGGGATCAAGCCCGAATCCCAGGCATGTGCCCTTGTCTGAAATTGAACCTGGGACCCTTCAGTCCATAGGCTGATGCTCTATCCACTGAGCCAAACCAGCGAGGGCAGAATATACTATCTTGACTTCTTCTCTAACCTCTAGAGTCTAGACTTAAAGATCCAATAATTTATTGTTCATCTAATCCTAGATGCCCTACAGTCACCTCAAATCAACCCTTCTGCAAAACGCAACTCAGTATCTTCCTTGCTAAACTTGCTCTTCCAGTTATATTCTTTTGGGGGGAAAAAAAAGTTTTTACTGATTTTAGAGAGAAAGGGAGAGGGAGAAACATCGATGAGAGAGAAACATCAATCAGCTGCCTCCTGCACAACCCCCACTGGGGATTGAGCCTGCAACCCGGGCATATGCCCTGACTGGGAATCAAACCAGTGACTTCTTGGTGCATGGGACAATGCAACCTACCTAAAACACAGATTTGACCATGTCTCCTGTCTACTTTCCTGACCTGGTCTTCAGCTACTCCCCAGGACTCACTCGATACTGGTACTCCTAAAACACCAGATTCCACATTGTCTCATTCTTCTCTAAGTATTGGTTCCTCTACCAAAATGTCCATTTCCACTTACCTTTCTGGAGAAATCCTGTTCATCCTTCAGAACTCACTCCATAAAACCCTTCCTGATCACTCTTTCCCCTATCCCTCTGCAGGCAATGCAGTGAATCCTGTCTTCACTCTCAGAAGCTGTGTGACTTGGGCAAGTTATTGTTTTAGTTGTGCCATTTGTAGAATAGCAATAGGAAGACTACCTATTTTATAGAATTGTTGAGGGTTAAATGAGATGATGTAAATTAAACCCATAGCATGGGGCTAGACACGTGGTAAGCTCTCAAAACATTTAGCAATTATTAATTACGCATCCCTTTGCTCTATGTAGGTAGGCCTCTGTCACTGCAAGTTTAACACTGCAGTATGATTTCTTTCTGTACAGTTTCTCCACCAGAGTATAATCTCCTTGAAATAAGCATCCACATATCACACATCTTATATTTTAGCACAGTGCCTGGCATATTATGGGAACTTATTCAATGATAATTGAACTAGACCATTTAAGTACTACCCATCTTTCAAGGCCAGTTCAATTTCCACTTCCTCCACTAATATTTACCTAATGATTCCAGCCCTCTGGATTTTACCTTCTCAAAAATATTTTTACCACTGTTTGAAAAATCGAATGCTATCTTGTGTTATATTTAGAAGCGTTGTCTCAATAATGCCTGTTTCCTCCAGGGCATACACCATTTCTTACATTGTTTACCTGCCCAGTAACAGCTAATATTTCCAATTGCAGAGTGAGTGTTCAACAATTACTTTTTTAAAAAATATGGTTTTTTATTGATTTTTAGAGAGACAGAAAGGGAGAGGGAGAAATATCAATGTGTGAGAGAGAAACATCGATAGGCTGCCTCCCGTACACACCCCGACCAGGGACTGAACCGCAACCTGGGCATGTGACCTGACTGGGAATAGAACCGGTGACCTTTTGGTTCACCAGATGACACTCAACAAACTGAACCAAACTGGCAGGGCAACAATTATTTTTGAATTAAAATATTTCTGCCCAAGCATGGGAGGCCTCACCTTATCTTTTATTTTTTATTTTATTTTGAGAGTACATTTATTAAAGCTGGGGACAGTGAAACAAGGGCTTGGGATTGAAGAAGCAACAGGAGAGAGCCAAGGTGGGGCTGCTGTTGGCTTCATAGTCAGAGAAAAGGGGGCCTTGGAGACAGGCTCAGGGTTTTAGCTTGGGACGAACTGGCGCTGCCCATTGCTTCCCTGGTTGCAAGTCTTGTGGGGACCCTTAGTGTTCAGGTGAGAAAAGTAAAGAAAGGCAGGCGTGCTCCTGAGAGGGAGGGCACGCCTCTCCTTATCTTTTATTAGTCACCTGCCTCTAAGAAAATTCAGCAAACAACATATCTGACTCTCC